CCAGTGCAGTTCACAAAGCAGGGGTATTACACAGGCATATCAAAGCATATCTGTTGCTGCCCATGCCTCTGCATTCTGGATCAATTGAAGCTTCTGTGTCATCTTCAAGGGCAGTCCCATGTAGGATGTGTTGCAGTAGTTAAACCACGAAGGGCTCCTAATCTAGGAATATTATTCTAAAAATCATATAAATTGTTCAGAATTGCATTAGTGAGATACAGCAATATGAGTTCAAAACACCTGATCCCAATAGAGGAAAACTAATCAAAGTAGAGATGACACGAATTTTACCTACGTATTAGCATGGACTCTTATTCTGCTTTCTTCGTATGTGATAGTTTTAACATCCATACATGATGTACCAAGAAAACGAACTTCAAGGAAAAAATGGAAACTACACTTGGTACAAAAGCTTATAAATATATTCATACCAAAAGGGTATTAATTGTTATGAATTGAATGCTAATATGAAGCCAGTTTTCAACATTTAATGTCACTCTTAAACAAAAACAAAAAATCAAAAGGAGAATTTATTTCTGTAATCAAATTACTCGGTGGCATTCAAGAAAGTTAACAACCAGTTCTCTGCCCTAGTGATTTCTTCCAACAACTAGTTCACCAAATTGCTCAGAAAGTTAACAACCAGTTCTCCCGAAGTGGTGCGAACTGGCTGAATCCCACCACTGAAATTACTGCCCATCACACTTGCATGATTCGATATTATAGCAGAAATATAGGCCAGAAATATTTACAACTTGATTTTTCTTTGTAGCCAGTGATGTAGTGTAGAAAAGCATTGCTTGTGGATTCATTAGTTATACTGTATATAGTCTTAACAAATATCTTGAAATTGTATAAACGTAGACCATACTCAAAGGTCTTCAGGTTTCTTTGATTTCTTCAGTTCTGCATAAAAATAATTAGCATAGAAACTGAGTTAATATTAGGAAAGCCTGATATGAATTCATCATATAAATAACTATCTCAATCTTTGTACTTTCTTCCAACTCTGTGAATGAATATAAGGCAATCATTTATTGTCCAAAATTTTTAAAACACAGAATCATACTCTTAATGAGAGGTGACATTAGTTCAACGTGCGGTGTCTGCTAAACCTTTTAACTACCTGAATTATTTTTGTACAAATATGCACATTCATGCTTTCGTTGCTAACAGGTGAGTCCTAGTATTCTTGCAATAACTCCAAAATGTTGTGCTTAGCTATAACTTTCATTCTCAGAACTCTAGTAAGCAAATGAATATGCTGTGCCTGAGTTTTTAAAAGCTAAGCAAAGATGGATCTGTTGCATTTTTAGATGAGAGATCTCAGGATTAATAGGTTACACTGGGAAATTGAAAGAAGATAGAGCAAATTGTGTGGTTCTATGGCAGTGTTTCTCAACCTTGGCAACTTGAAGCTGGCTGGGGAATTCTGGGAGTTGAAGTCCGGACATCTTCAAGTTGCCAAGGTTGAGAAACACTGTTCTATGGATTCATGAAGTATTGGGTTTCAGTTGTGGAAGTTCTTACTCTACCATAAATTAGCTGTGTTCTTGTGCTTCTATTAATGCAAACAAGAATTTGTTTTAAAGGAGGAGTTTCTTTACCCTTTTGAATTGGTTATGGTAAATTTGTCATAGCAGATTTTTAGCTATTGCGACAAGTTTGTATAAAAACAGAAACTCACTGTTCAGAATCTTCACTAGTATTTTCTATTCCAGCTTCAGCCATTAGTCCAGCAACATGCTTTTCCAAATCATTTATCCGTTCACCCATCTCATCCAGTAAAAGGTTAAAGAGCGCTGTGTTGTTAATTCATTTTTATTAGTTTATATTAATCTATCTGAGAAAAGAATACATGGTGCGCATATATAACAGGATTCACATTTGGTTTCTTTCTATTGTAAAAAAAAAATCCAAAGTGTTGTTTGTTTGATTTTATCTTATTGGGTATAAAACAATTGTTTTCATACTTCTTGCCTTATCTGGTTTAATGTCATCTGGCTACTACCCGGGGGAGGGCCTTTTCTGTGGTGGCTCCAGCCCTTTGGAATGAGCTCCCCACAGAGATTTG